GATATGAGGTTCTCAAAGCCATCCTTTCTAACAGGTAGCTGAAATTTATTTAATTGAGGTAAGCTATTTTACCTCTCAAAATCCCATTATTAAAACAGGACTCTCAAAAGCAGATCTCCCGACCACTTTGGCACCTGTAAGATAGAGATAACCTCCATTGACTAAGGCAAGTCCACAGATGGAAGAGTGACGTATTCAGAAGGAAATTCTTGTATGGGAAGGTAGCTAGAGCCTGAAGACCAGTCAGACACTGCTCCAAGCATGATTACAACATCAAACTAATTTCCTGAAAATTGCTTGCAAACATGGGTGGCACTATCTAATAACAGTGGCAACATGACCCAGAGGCTGGAGAGCACTGCAGCGATGATTATGATGAGTGGTTTTATACGGGTGTCAATGCTGAGACCTGCATCCCACAGCAACCCCTGAGAGCTGCTTTATATACGGCACTTTGTATACGAGGACCCACCCCCTTCAGACTGGTCTGTTCAGCCAGCAGTAAAACTATATCATGTACCATTATCTCAATGTCAACAGATTTTTGGAACGTCGATCAGCTCTTGTAGCTGGAAAGGCACCAACAGTGACAGACATATCCTTTCAAAAAGTCAGGTGGAGTTAATTTAATTGACTTGTGCTTAATCATCACATGCAATTTTCTGAAACATGAACTATTGTAGAGCCATCACGTTCTGACTTTATGGTAAGCTTGCTGTAAACTGGGATCAGCAAACGCACTCCACCCCCTCTTCCAGCTTTGATGTTGATTGGTTAGAATCATCGACATCATGATGACCAGGCACTCTCACCATACGTCATTCACATGCCTTTAAGAAATGGTATAACGGATACATGTTAATTCTTCAGTAAAATTCCTATGTGGTTGAACTGACATTAGAGAAAGTTCCTTATTTCACAAATCTGCAAACAGCATTTTTTTAAGAGCAAACTATCTATCAAAGTGACACCGATGATGTTATGATCTCTCCTAAATGTGCCAACACTTGTTAAGTTAGGGCTTCATAGGCATCTTTCCTAAATGTTTTCGTGTGAGAGTGTCAATGGCATACTTGACTTGGGGAAATGATCAACAGCAGTCGCTGGCTGAGTTATTTCCTTTCTGTTGTGGAACTCAGGTTACATTGCAAGCTGTGGTGCCATTTGCAGGCTCACAATGTTCTTTCCAGTCAATTAAAGAACGCTTAGAACTGCACTCAGTTATGCAACGTAAGAATTGCAGCAGTCAACTCGCACACAGTAAAATCCTAGACTCAGTGACAGGCAACTGGAGCAAATGCTCTTTTCGTGAGGATTTATCATGGCCAGAACATCAGGAAAACTCCCTCTGCCCTTCTTCAAGTAGCATGAGGTCCTTTATGTTCATCTGAGATGGTTCAGTGGGCCCCTTTGTCACCTCCCTCTGAGCAGCACTCCCTGAATTGCACAATGGAGCATTAAGATGACGGATGACTTGCTTCATTCCTTGGCTTGGAGTCTGAGCCTGTAATTTTCTTACTCATAGCAGAGCTGAAGTAGGTCAGAAAAATGCCAAGCTTAAAAAGGTTGAACCACGATGAAAAATTGAAGAAGTGTAAGCTCAACATCTAGATACCAGAAGATTAAAAGGAGACCTCAGTGATTTTTAGAAAGCTTTATTTAACATATTAAGGATTCAGAGTTTAGCATGCTTCTCCCATGACTGTCATGTTTGCTTCAAGTACTGCATCTGCTTGTCAACATCCAAGTGATATAAAATATTGCATACTATAACTTATCACAGGGTTGGTAAAGTATTCAATAATGGAGAGGAGATGGACAGGGAATACTTTAAGATAATCAGATCATGGAGCAAGAGAATCACAAATTTCAATGAAAATGAAAAGCAAATTTGAAACACCTAATGTAAAATTGCGTACTTAAAGAGAATCAAGAATATTACAAACATTCAAAGTGAGACTCTGATAGTGGCGAGGAATCCTTGATGGGCCAAATGGCTTGTTCTCGGTACTGACTTTTTTCCACTGTTAATTGTTATCCTGGCCAAGATCATAGGTGGCACGGTGGCTCAGTGGTTAGCACTGCTGCCTCACAGTGCCAGGGACCCGGGTTCAATTCCACCCTTGGGTGACTGTCTGTGTGGAGTTTGTATGTTCTCCCTGTGTCTGTGTGGGTTTCCTCCAGGTGCTCTGGTTTCCTCCTGCAGTCCAAAGATGTGCGGGTTAGATGGATTGGCTAAGCTAAATTGCCTGTAGTGTTCAGGGGTCTGTAGATTAGGTGGGTCTGGGTGAGGTGCTCCAAGGGTCAGTGTGGACTTGTTGGGCCGAAGGGCCTGTTTCCACACTGTAGGGTTTCTATGATCATGCAAGGAATTGGAACCAAGGCTCTTCGGTCCACATAGTTATCTATTGTCCAGAGGGGCTTCCATAGACTAAGTCCATCTGGTCCCATAGCCTTCATTGATTTGGCACAGTAGGATGATGGTACTATCCCTCAAGCATTACTGCTCCCTCCTCCAAGTAGAGCTTAGATTCTTTGGGCCTGAGAGTCCTCTGGCTGTTGGCTTTACTTGCATTATATTTTTGGAATTCCCATGAGCCCACTGGAAGGTTACCATCTTCCAAATGGCAGACATTGCAGACATTGCAGATTTGCTTCCTCTATGTAACCACATCTTGCCCTACTTACCTATGGGTAGCTGTGCCCTGAGGTAGGTTTGCCACCCATTCTTGATCAGCTCACCTTGGAAACACTGACTGACTGATGCTCTCTTCCAAGTGTATAGCAAAGAATGGAAACTTCAGCCAAACATCTTCTGACCCAGGGTCACAGAGACTGATTGCTGCAATTGCTTGCTTTGTCTCACAGTGCAACAATGAGTATGAAAGCAAGCCCTTCCTACCTGCACTCAGCTGTTACATAAGGTGTTTACCAATTAAACAATAAGAATGAAAGGCTGGTGCAAGTCCTGAAAATGAGTTTTACATGCTGATGCTCATTTATAATGTTAACAAATACTAAATTAACTCTAACATGAGAAAAATAGCTAGCTTCTTTAAGCTATAGACTAATACCAAAAACACAGTATGCAGCTGGAAGAGCACAGCAGGCCAGACAGCATCAGAGGAGCAGGAAAGTTGATGTTCAGGTTGGGAGCCTTCTTCCTGTTCCTCTGATGCTGCCTGGCCAACTTCACACTGTGTTATCTCTGACTCCAGCATCTGCAGTTCTTGCTAAACTAATAGTGATGACTCTTGGTGGTGACTGCCATGCTTCTGTGCATAGCCCACTTCTGTCCCCAAATTTGTGCAAGGTAGATCTGTCAGATCTCTCTCTCTCTCTTACTCTCTTCTGCCCCTCTCATTCACTCTCTCTCTCACTCTCACTCTCACTTTCCCTCATCTCTTTCTCTCGATCCACCTGTCTCTGTCTTTCTGTCTGTTTTTCACTCTCTCTCTCTCCGTCTCTCATTCACTCTCTTTCTCTCTCATCTGGATGGTCTACCCACTAACTCACCCTTTGCCTCATACCTTAATCTCAAGTTCTCCTGGGTTGTGTCTTAAATTGAGCTCATTCAGTTGTCAGAATGGTCTATTTCATCAAAACTTGTATTAGATTGAAAGCCAAAGAAAAATCAGTTATATCTAAGTAATTGGAAACACATTGTATCCAGGTCAATGTTTTGAAAGATTTGGTTAGTGTGGTTAAGACACATTGCCAACACACAATGATTAAAGATTGACATTCTTATAGTTGGAGCATGACACAGATGGGACCATGTATCCTTGTGGATCTTTAGGATGCAAAAGCATTTGGTAGAGAAAATAAGTTATTCAATGTTTGTGGATAATGAATTGCGCTTCACCCTTCACAACCTCAGGAAGTTGAAAAGTGTCTCACAAACAAGGAATTGGTTTTCACAGTGTCATCACTGTTGTCAGGTAAGGAAATACAGAAGCTAACCTATGTACAGCAAAATTCCACAGCCTGCAATGTGATAATGGCCAGACAATCAACCGGGGTGAATAATTCCATGGGCAGATAGGCATCAGTTTGATATTTCTTCTGCAGAGTGCCCCCTTTGATTGTGCAACCCTCTCAGAGTATTGCACAGCCTAAATTATGTCGTCAAAACATTGGAGTAAGACTTGAACCCATGAACTTTCTGACTTGAAGTTGAATGTGTTCCCATCTGAGATACCCT